CACAATCACCCTCTCACCCATCATGGGGCTGGTACAATAGGACAGAAGTGGCCGCAGTACAAGGGACTTAATCCCACCCCACTAGCAATAAAAAAAAAAAGCATGCTAATGAGAACTTTTGATGTTTCAGGATGTGAAGGATCTGTTAGATGTCCAGAAAACACAGGCATTGTCATCAAGGTATGTGTTCATACAGTGGTGGAGGCCAAGTGAAGCTTGCTACACTGCTCTCAGATCAGTTTTCGTTTTCATGAAATTTGGATGATTGCAAAATCATGGCAGGACTGCACCACACTTCTTTGTTTTACCACACCCCATCCCTGTTCTCTCCTCTCCACTCTGCATTACACTGTACGAGTGCTGTCTTCCGACGTGACCCTGCAGGTCAGTTGAAATTTGCTGATGTTTCAAATGTCTTGCCTCCATTGTCAGGGTTGGAAAGTGAGCCAAGCAAGTAACCAGTAAGAAGTAGGCAGTAAGGAGAGTTCACCAAAACATCAGTGAACTCTACTGGACTGTATGGTATCATCTCGGAAGGTAGTACTCTTTGTAGTTACCACACTGAGAGCCTCAGATGCAACAAACGCTACATCTGTAATGATATTAGTGTCTAACTTTATTTTTCTGTCACAACACAACAACTAAGGAGTATCAAGGTCAATACCCAGCTATGCCTCACTACATGTTTCGGCCGTTACCGGCCATCATCAGGTGAATACAAATCAACAAACGTATACTATTGAACTATAGTAAAATTAGATACAATGACAAAATAGTTAATTGTTTTGTGTAAAGATACCACGGTCATTTATATATAAAACAAGATTAAAATTGATGTTTTATAAGATCTTTGTGAATGGCGCTATGGATATGATCTTTCTGCGCAAGGGAATCTTCATGATCCAGTTTAATAGGGTGAGACGGAAAGTTGCCGATTAACTTTAGACACGGGTTTCACACACTAAAACAGGAAAAAATATCCACATCAACATGTTTCTGGAAACATTTAATCTGTGCTACAGCTGAAAGAATACTGTGTAGACACCAGCAGCAGTTCATCATCATCGTTTGGTCAGGGATTGTTGGTGATGGTTCAGTAGGCCTGCGTGTGTAGCCACATTGGCTTACAGGCAGCCACTTACATGATCTGCAACAGCCACTGGTAGTGCACGAGTGTGGTACAT